AAACCATTCCGGGAAGCATTATTCAGAGCATCTCGGTATTGTCTTCTGATTCCGTTGAGAAAATGGAGATCACGTTCCAATCTTCAAGACCGTGGCTCGGGCATCTCATTAGAAGCTCCTTGTAGCGCTCCCATGCCTCGGTCAGACTTTCATCCTCAGCTTGTTTAAAAGTGACAATTTCCTCTTGCCTCTTCATTGCCTTGGCAGGAGGAAAGTACTTATCCAAAAAGGTCTTTTCAAGCTGACCCCATGTTGTGATGGAACGGGGTGTCAAGTTCTGGAACCAGTGTGATGCATTCCCTAACAGAGAAAACGAGAACATCCAAAGACGGATGGCATCATCAGACACAGCCGGGCTCTTCATTGTGTCACAAATGCTTGCAAACCGGCGAAGATATTCATGAGGATCCTCGGTGCTGGCCCCTGAGAAGGTGTACCCATTAGTGATCATATTGATGAAGGCTGGGGCAATCTCCATGTTTGCATCCCCAGCCGGAATGACAACACATGAAACTCGGGCTCCAGTCCTCCGATTCAGACGAACCCTGATCGAACGATCCTGTTCAGCCATGATGACAGGCTCGATGACGCGCGGCGGTGGTGTAGGTGGTGTAGGGATGACAGGTGGTGACACCTGCCTTCTCGGTTGACGATTCTGAGTTAGGGAAGGCCTAGGAGTTGTGGATGTGGTAGGCTTCTTCCCTAACTTGACCTGCTTCCTGTTCTATCGGCAGGTCCTCTCGATCTCGGGATCTAGTGGCAGTAAATTGCCAGTCGTCCTCCTTGGCATGCACGAGGAGGATTAACCTGAAAAATTCACCTGCACACTAACACCCAGATCAAAATAGTTCACTCACAAAAATCAACAAAAATAAGGTATGGCAGTCCCAGGCAACGGCGCCAAAAACTTGATAGGTCAAAAGCGTATGCCTTAATCCTATCTTGTAGTAAAACCTGAAAGTCCGGGTATCGTCTCTCAGGGACTGGTACAACCTTAAGATTTACCGATTTAATAGAGCAAACTATAGGTGAAAATGGTTTAATGAGATTATTAACTACTAGCAAAATTAACTAAACAAGCAAATTAAAGTGTCGGGTTTAAATCAATGGGAGAAAGCTCTGGGAGAAACACCGGGATTCACTACCTATCCTATCCAGATTAATTCACATATTCCAATCAATTTAATACATACCTCTACAGCCAGGATATCACGAATGTGCTAGCTATCCCTGTCGGGAATTACTACGTACTAAACAATTAATTCAAATCCTATTGTCGTAGCTCAATGAGTTAATTATTTAGTCTGAAGATCGATATCCTATTTAAGACTGCATAGCACCTTATTCAATCCACTATCGCTTCGATAAGTTACTATGTTACATGAAATAGGTTCAGTTAATAGGGTTTCACTGTCGCTAATAACCTAATCAACTACAAATCGATGTATTGGTGGCCAGTCAACACAAAGCATTAAGCAATTCCATGCAATAGAGATTGGACGAAAAGAATCATAAATCAATCCATCAAATCAAGAAATAGCTACATCCTATAGTGTTTCCCCCAGAAATCGGGGTTTAGTTCATGACGAAATTAAGATAAATCGATAGGGTTTTGTTCATCATCTTCTAAATCAACAAATAACAACTAATTTGGTTCAGAAAATCCAACCAACTAATCGCTCTCGTTGAATTCAGCTCAAGCCTTGGAAAAACTGATCACCAATCTGTGAATCGCCTGCTGCTGCTCGCTTTTTGCCTGCGCCGCCTGCTTCGCTTTTTTCTTCTCGCCAAAGAAATCCGCCCAAAAAAAACCAAACAAAAGTCTCTCCCCCCCTGGAATAAAGTTTCGCCCAGAATAATTAAATCCAAAGAGAAGCCCCTTCAATTTTTCCACCGCCAGCAATTTACTCTGGCCCCCTCTCTCGTGTCCAATCCCCTTGGGCCTCCTAAAATTCCTTGCCCAATCCAAATCAAGTCCCTGCCGACCAGCCTTTCCAAAATATCCCCGGCCAATTAATTCCGGTCCAAGTAAATAGTAACCCAAGTTCAGTTCCCCTGTCCCAAGTAATTCTGCCTTCTAATTCCGTGTGTCCCCATCAATCTCGCTGCCCTGCTCCACCAGAAATAGGCGTGGCCCATTTAGGCCCATTTCTCCTCCTAGCCCAAGTGATTAGTCCACCAGTAGTTCGAGCCCGATTTATTGTTTATGCACTCGTTCCTTTTTCGTGCTTTCTCCACCTGTAACATATCAAACTCATGGCACTAGGCAGTAATGGTTTTTCAACCATTTCCGGGTTAGCGACCCCTAAAATAGCACCAATCGGCTTAAACATACCACGGATAATCACATAAAGTCCAAAAATTCAATATGTTAAAGCCGATTATCATTTATCAAGGGCATTTTAGTAAAAGTAGTACCCTGCCGGGTTAGGGTGTTTAAGTTCACACCTCTCCAAAAAATGTTCGAATGAGGGCATTTGAGTTTTGGAGTGAATCTACGTTAGATCTACTCCTATGGAGATTCCTGTGGATAGCTCCGCTACTACGCTACCACTACGACTATGGAGATCCTTTCTCGAAGGAGAGCTCCACGAGTGAGTTACAGAGAAAAAAGGTAAAGTTTGACGGATGTGTTTCTATGTTGATTTTGTTGTCCTCTCTCTCCTTGCAAGGTTGGTTTTATCTAAAAGCAACTGCGTAGCCTTCATGACAACTCCTCCTCTGGAACTGCTTCCTCAACTGCCCACTCGCGATCTCCCATGTGTCTCAACCACCTTGTTCTCCTCTTCACTCTGGCTGGCGTGAATCTCATGTGAAAGAAAATACATTGTTACAACGTTGTAGTCTTCAACAACTTTGCATCTCCACTCTTCACTTCTCTCCACACACGTGTGCACAAAAGAACCCGAGCCTAGGATCAGTATTGTGGTTTGGACTCTGACGTGTTATTTCATGGATGCAATCATCATGAATTTGAGCCACGGAATTAATATTAATAGAGCCGCATCCTTAATTGAAACCACACAGTTGCAAGCCCAACGCCGATGTTGTTAATTAAATAACGTCGATATTATGACTCCACAACATTGCCGTGCTCACAACATTGTCTATCTCGCGGCATCGTTGAGATACCCGGCGTTTTCAAACTCACAACGTTGTCATGCTCTCAACGTCGTGACATCGCTGCCTACTACGGTGTTGTTGAACTCGCGACATTGTTCACCTCCGCAATATTGTTTATCTCGCGGTGTCGTTGACCTCGCAATGCCGCCAAATTATTTTAGTAAACAACATGTCAGAAATGGGTGTCACATCTGTTTAGAAATATATCTGGTTAAACAAATTAAAGGATTACCTGCAAGAAGTCTCTAATGCGTTGCCGTTTGAATTAATTAATTGACGATCAAGTTCAAGTGAAATGTGGAGAATTTCTATGAGAAAAAAAGGGTAACACAACCTATCACCCATTCAAGGGAGTCTTGGTAACGTTTTTGCTCGCTCATTCTCTCAACTAGTAGGTTTTTATCGTCCATGAATGTGAGTTCTTCTATTTTTAGATTGTTATTATATTTGAATATGTTTTTAACATAATTGTCTTAAAGCTAACTACAAATATTTGGGATATATACTTCGGATGATTTTATGGTTCTCAATCATGCCTACACAAAAAGATTATGACCAATCATGGAACATCTTCCTTCAAATGATGAAAGTGGTTGCAATTATATAATACTAAACCATTAAAACAATGCAACTTAATTAATTATAGCATACCTCAAGAGCCACCCTTCTACTTGGGATACTAATATTATTATCATTCTATATCTTATTAATATTTCCATGCTTTGTCAATTAAAGTGGAATTGCCATATCCAAGAGATATAAGAAGAGGAAGACCCACACCTCATGATGATCTGCCCCTAAACTATTAAGATCGCTAATCATGATTTTTGGGGAATATTAAGAACATAATAATTTTTTTTATAATGATAAGAACATAATAATTAAGAAAAAAAACAAAAGGCAAAGTGAGTATTAAACAATTAATTATACTCTCTTGCTTTATGATTATGGGTTGTAATTTAATACCAAGTATGTTCCCCCTATAGCCTTGGAAGAATAAAAAAGCATCATTTTGGTTCTGGACAAGAACATGGGCAACTTGTGTTTAATATTATTGAGCGTATCACTAATTATTTAATTGTTTAATTATGGTCAAATTAAATCTTGGGGAGACCACTTCAAGCTGGCATCTAAGCTTTTTGAGTTCAATTAATAAATGGTTTCAAATCATAATATCTCTACTTGGGAATTATTAAGAACCCATAATTAATTTTAGCAACTATCATTTGGGAGTTGCATGATATCATCATCACTAGGAATACCGCATATGATCATTTTAATTACAGATGGTATTATGTCTTTCTTTTCTCATAAAAGTAATTATGCTTCCTGTTGGATCTTTGCTACACCATGGAGGATAGCTTGAGAGCACTTTGATTTTTTGGTCCCCCATTAGAGGGGGAGCACATCATTGTTTTTTTATTTTTTTTTTGCCATAGGGGGAGCACATCATTGTTTGAGATAACATTCTATTCATCTTTTTCGTTATTCAAGCCACATATAATTTGTATAAGCTAGTTTCAAGGTTCTATTTATATATACCTGTAGTGGGGAAAAAAAATGGTCTAAATCTGACAGGAAAGCTGTCAAGCGGTGATAATTGGATTGAATTAATGGATTGGTAGATTGAATTGGTGTATCCATGTATTAAGTGGATTAGATTAAATGGAATGGATCAAGTGGATTGGTGGATTGATCCATGAATTTAAATGACATCCAAGTCTTGGATCAATAAGTAAGTTTTGAAAGTTTGGTACTGAAATGTCATAATAAAATAATTTAGGTATCAAAACGTAATTTTCCACTGATATTTTTCGTATAAAAATTAAATTTTTGGTACCAAAATATAAAATTAAAAAATTATAGGTACTAAACTATAATTTTTCATTTGGAAATATATTTTCAACTTGTAGAGTTACACTAATAAAAGGGATGAGAGGTGCTCTCTCCTCTCTCCTCCTTTTAGTTTCACTGCTCGGAAGGTGGTTCTCGCGGCCCGCCGCCGCCGTCTTCACGACCAGCTTGCGGAATCAGAATAAAGGTAACTGGTTGAACAGATCGCTGTCCGATCGTATCCAGGTGTTGGGGATGAACAGAACCCCTATCAGCAGCATGAAGGATGGAACTCCCCCAGCTGATGCGAGCCCAAACCCGAAAAGGGCATCTCAGGGAATTGGCCGGCGCAGAGCTCTAGGGCGCCGCCTGAAGAAACGTGCGATCCATGCTGCCTTTGCTGAGTTTGAAATTCCAGAGGAGCGTCCATCAAAGCGATATCGGCAAATGCCAAGATATCAATGGCGATTCTGGCTCCTAAACTCGTCAGAATTAGACGAGGTTGACTCTGTTGATGTCCCGTTAGCGGGGAGTAATATGCAGACTATGCGATTTCCAATTGAGCGCCATGATTTTTGTGAAATATTGGCTCAATCTTTACCGTTAGGGGATGAGATTTTTCCCGTGAAGCCAGATCGTGAGGAGGCTGGGTTGTGCCAGATCTGCTTCTATGGCATCACAATTAACAAAACCACAAGTGAACAACATGATAAGTGTATAGCTCGGAAGACCCCCTGGGGGGATGAGATACAATTACAGTTCCGGGAACGCGAACTTCCGTCTCCGGCAGGTGGGGGTGCGGCGTAGCTGGGCGGTTACAGACGTATTTGGGACTGATTTTCCAATTTTTTCGGGCGAGATCCTTGGATATCATTTCCAATTAAAAAACCAAAATCGTAAACCGTCTCAGAGATATCCTAATCCAAGACGAATTCTAATTGACGACAGAAATAGGAGAGCACGGCTCTTGGGGAATTTGGGGATGTTTTCCTATAAAACCACTTCGCCTTTCTCTATCCCATCACTGTGCAGTCCTCGGAGCCTAGAGATTGACATAGAGGCGAGAATAACAGGCCCTTCCCACCAGCAGTGTGTTGCTCCTCTGAGTTCGTCATGTAATTGGTTTTACTCCCAACCCTTTATCCCTCCCGCTGTTTTACTCGTTGCTGCTGCGCGCATAAATTTGAATGCCCAGGGTCTGCTGCCGCTAGCTGCTTTGACCGAAGCGGCCGGTCCAATTGAATATGTTTGCCTCGTGCAGGGGCAGCCTTCCTCGACTCCCCATTATCTTCGGCCAACTGCCTTAGTGACAGGGCCGACTTTAAGCTATGCAACTAATGCTTTATCTCTCCCCTCTTGTCAGGTGAATATGATGTCACGTATCGCGGAGGATCAGGTGGTCGAGTTCTCACTGGAGGAGGTCCAGTCTGTGAAGTTTCGTACTTCTAGGACCCTTTTGGGGAGACTCTTTTCGGAAGCCAAGTTCACCACTACTGAGTTGAGGGAAGAACTAGTCGAAGCTTGGCAGGTGAAAGGAAACCTCAGGGTTTCACTCACAAAATTTGGCCTATTTGAGGTTGTTCTTCCAAGTGATGAGTCAAGGGTGTGGATCCTAAAGAGAACACCCTGGATAGTCAAGGATAGGATTTTCCACCTCCGATCTTGGACACCAGCTATTTCGAGGCTCACCTTCGATGAGTTGGCCATTGCTCCCTTTTGCGTCCAACTTTGGAATGTGAAGGATTACTATTGCATTAAGCAGTTTGGCCGGAAAGTGGCAGCTGAAACTATCGGCCAGGTCTTGGAGGCAGATGTCTTTGCGTCAAAGGACACCGAAGAGTGCTTTATGAAAGTGCGCGCTCTCATGGATTTTACCAAACCTTTGAGGTCTCAACTCATGACGGTAAGTGAAGAGCTTGGTAGCTTCTAGGTTAATCTCAAGTACGAGTTTTTACCGACCATCTGCTTCCACTGTGGCCGCATGGGACACTCCAAACGCGACTGAGTTTTTGATCCCCCTCCGGGTAAAGAACGCTTTGGACCGCACATGTCAACGAGGAAGCTAGGAAGGAAGATATACATGGATGAGGAAGATTATCCCAAATTTCGAGATACAAGCAAATATGTGTGGATTAACAGGAGTGTACAAAGGCAAAATGATGGGTGCGTGAAGACTGCTAGGGATCGAGTGGAGGAGTTACCTCCAGCTACCATTGATCGCGCACAGGCTCAAGGAGTGTACCATCCTATGTCTATAGAGCCGGAAGCTCAAGCTAGAAGGAAGCCACAGCCTAGGCTGCGAGAAACGAACAACAAAGTGGTTGGGAGTCGTGCTAGCCCCAAAAAGTTTGTCTTCAGGAAGTCACCTCGGGTTAAGATTGGTGGTGGTGTTAGGCAGCACCAGAAGGAGATGTCTCCTAGAAAGGGGGCCTCTCTTCCCCGACAAGGCACCACGAGTCGCCACCAGCCGAGTAGACGCGCCAGGCAGATTCCCCGTCACCAGCAGGGGCGGATCCCCTGGAGGTGGCTCTTGAGCAATCCCGGTGGCGTAGACTGATTTTGCAGGATGAATCCGAGGAGGAGGAGAGTGCGGGTGAGACAACCATACACCCCATGCAGTCACGTGCTCCCTCTGGTCCCACAATGGACCATGTTCCTCTACCTCTGAAGGATCCTCGGCTGCCCTCCAAGATCGCAACCCAGTCAGGGGTCTCGGCACCTCGGGTTCGCCCACCCCTGAGAAAAATAGGAGGTAGATACCCTCTGACTATATCCAACTAGGATGAGGGCTCTACTGCATCTAGTTCCCCGCAAGAGCTGGAGGACAATGAATTTGCTGGTACTCTTGCTGGTCCTTTCGCTGCGGATCACCAGCAGGCATCTGATTCTGATGGGGACCAATCTCTTGAGGATCATCATTCCTTTGAGATCAAGCGTCGGTCACCAACGGGCTTCCCAACGAAGACTCACCTAGGCATGAAAGGGCGTGTCCACCTGGTGGTGGAGACATTCAAAGCTGGGCTTGTCATTTGGAGGGAGGAGAATGCTCCCCGCAAGGGGTTGAGCTTAGGATACACAATTTGTGGGGGGGGGGGGGGGGGGGGGGGGGGGGGGGGGGAAGGCCGTCGCTCCCGCTCCAAACCGCGAAAACGCGAACTCCCAATAATTCATTAATAATTCGCGGTTTATTTTATTTGAGAACGCGAACTAGTTGCTGAAAAAACGCGACTTCTATTCTAGAAAATCGTGAATTAGATAAAGCCAACGCGTGGTTTATAATATTAAATTCGATGAACTTAACTTTGTCGTCCGCTAATTCTTGGCTGGTTTTGATACAAAATATATATTTCATTCACTCTCTCATTTTTTAACGAGATTCCCGTCCTCTTTCTTTCTCGACCCGAATCCCAACATATAAAAGTTTATAATAATAATAATTAATTGGAACAACTTCTCCGATAAGTCTTCTTTGAAAGTGATTAAAGAAAGACAAAGGAAATATTTTATTTGCCAAAAAATAGAAAGTAAATATATTTTAAACAAATCAAGGAGAGTAAGATTTTTATGCGTAAAATATTTGAATAAGAGGAAGTAATTAACATGTGGACGGTAGAATTTCAAGTGGTACTTCCCTTTACCAACATAGAAATACTAAAAAAATAAAAGAATAAAAAACTCAAAGAGACTACTTTTATTTGGGAAATTGGCATCAGACTAACAGAGCACAAAAGGCAGAATAGATCTTGAAACTTGAAAGAGAAAGTTGGAGCTGAAGGGTCGTATACTCACGAGAGAATGAGAAGTATATGATATCAGATTCCTTTCTTCAACTTCATCGACAACTTGAACTGATCCAGAACTTGGTAGGGATTTTAATTTCTTCTTCCCAATATATTATATATTCCAGTTTAAAAGTTTTTCCTTAGCTGAATGTTTATGTGCTGAACCTGTCATTCTGATACTATTCCGTCCTTATCATTCTGATAAATCTGTCATTCGTAGATGAATGTTTATATTCTATCTTCTGATACTCTCGGAACAAGTGTTCCAGTAAGCTTTTGTTTGCTATTTCATTCACTAACTGTTCTTTAGTTGATCTATAAGTTGTTCATTACTTAACTTCATTTGTTGGTTATTTGTATTCTACAGGTAACATGGCCGAGGCTGAGGCTAATCCTACTTCTTTACCAATTGATATAGATGATGGGGAGACTTCTCTGCCGGAACAACTTACTGCTACCCCACTTAGAAAATATGTGGTTATGGTTGGCGAAAAGAAAAATAACAAGTGGATATGTAGCTTTGGATGCAAAAGTGATCCATACACAGGAACATACTCACGCATTCGAGCTCATTTTCTTGGTAGGATTCCAGGAATGAAAGCACCTGGAATAGCAATGTGTTCAAAAGTGACAAAAACTGAGCAAGAAAAGATGAAGCAAGAAGAGGAAGAGGCCAAGAGGGTATTCACACGTAAATCTTCAGGTCCAGCAGTTCAAATTCTGCCTCCTACAAGTAAGATTGGGGTCTTGAAAAATGATACCAATATCATTAGTGACATGTTTGATTTGGTATCTAGGCATGATATTGATGGGTTGATTGGAAGATTCTTTTATGGTTGTGGAATTCCATTTAATGTAGCAAGGTCTCCCTTTTTCTATGAAATGGTACGAGGCTTAATTGAAGGACCAAAAGGATACAAGCCTCCAAGTTCTGAAAAGTTAAGAACAAACTTGCTTGATAAAGAGAGATCCAAAGTTGATCGTGCTTTGACGGGTATTCGAGATCAGTGGCCAATGTTTGGTGTTTCTATTGTGTCAGATGGTTGGAGTAATGTGAAGAATCAACCTTTGATAAATGTGTTGGCTGTTTCGGGGGGTAGAGCTGTATTTCTTGAAGGCGTTGATTGTTCAGGCGATGAAAAGACTGGACTTTATATTGCTGAAATCTTACTCAAAGCCATTGATCAAGTTGGGGTCTACAATGTTATTCAGGTGCTCACAGATAATGCTTCTACTTGTAAGCGTGCTGGAGAAATCATTATGGAGAGGCATCCACATATATTTTGGTCAGGTTGCTTGGCTCATACATTAAGCCTTTTAATGAAGGATGTTGCATCTTCACACTACCCTTCTTTGAGGTTCATTGGATATCTTTATAAGAAAGCAAAAGGGATTGTCAAGTACATAAGAAATCACAGCATGGTTCTGCATATTTTTAGGAAATTTTCTGCTCTTGATGTTATTCAAGTTAAGAAGACAAGGTTTGGTCATCATTATGTGGTGCTAGAACGTTGTCCAAGTTAAAGAACCACTTGATTTCAATGGTGTTAAGTGATGAGTGGGAAACTTTGAAGAATGGTTGATCTACTTCAAATCTGAGTCATGATGAAGTGAAGAACACCATTTTAGATAGTGATTTTTGGTTGAAGTTGAAACTTGTTCTTAGTTTCACAAGACCTATTTGGAATATGATTAGCTTTTGTAATTCTGACAAAGCTATTATAGGTGAAGTTTATTCAAGAATGGAAGACATGGTCAGCTCGATTCAATTGATTTTGGTTGATCGTGGGGAGGTGAAGGATATTGTAGAAGTTCTTGTTATGGAGAGATGGAGGAAGATGAATGTCCCTTTACATTTGTTGGCGTATGTGCTTACCCCTTTCTATTATTCCAACAAATGGTTAACGAGTTCTACTCCAGAGGGAAATAAGAGAGCCAAGCCACATGCTGATCCTGAAATTCAGAAAGTTTATCTTGATGTGGTAGATCTCATAATTGGAAATTCAGTTGAGGCAACTAGAGCTCGCATCCAACTTAGTGACTTTGTTTCCAACACAGGTACTAATTCTAACTATTTTAACTTGTGGAAAAATATGATCAGAATCAATATTTGCTTTTCTTGTCATTCCATCTACAAAATGCATTGATTTCTGTAAAATATACAGTATATGGTATGCCATGATTACATACTGGTTAACAACATGAATCCATATAAATGCTCTATTAATCAAAGCAGCTGGCGGGCAAAGCTTTCAAGTTTTTGCTTTTTATAAACCAAACACTATTACTGCCATGTTTTGTTACTGCTACTTAATCTCATTTCTTTCTTGGAACTTTATTATAAGGTTGGTTTCAAAACAGTGGGATGACACAATGTAACTTAATACTGGAATGATAGTACACTTCAGTAATTAACTCTAGCATCAAATCATGGAAATAAATCTAAAGTTGATGCTGCTTTTATGTTGATTTATTATTTCTGTTTTGTTTGGTTTAGGTATTTTTGCTCGTCCACAAGCAATATATCATAGAGAAGTACTACCTGCTGTCCAATGGTGGAATTTACATGGTGTAGCAGCTCCAGAATTATATGGTTTGGCTGTGAGGGTGTTGTCTCAAAGTGTTAATACCTCTTGTGCTGAAAGAGTTTGGAGCACATATAGTTTCATCCATAATGTGAAAAGGAATAGACTGAACACTGATCGTGCAGAATCCTTGGTTTATGTTCACTATAATAATTGTTTGTTGACAAGATACAGGGAGGATTATGAGAAGGAATACAAGGATTGGGATTCTTATGTTGAAGGTGATATGATAAACTTTGACATGCATCAAATTGAGGATAAAGACTTCTCCTCACGCAATGAAGATGATGCTACTGGCAGCAAAAGTCCAAAGTCCGATGGTTAAAAAAAGGGGGATCAGAATTCTGCTTACTTCCATACGGTTACTCGCGCGCGACAAAAAGGAATTTTGTTTCGGGGATCCGAAATGATGAGGGCGAATGGGTCACTGTGGAAAGTGGAAAGGCTACTATTGCTACCAAATTTTACCAGACTCTGTTTACCTCGGAGTCCCAGGTTCCTAATATGACCGATAGGGTGGCGAATCTCCCCATTTCCCATAGTGTTACTCCGTAGATGAATGCGCAATTGACGACGGAGGTTTTGCCTGATGAGGTCCTGAGTACGGTCTTTTCGATGGGGTCGAAGCAAGCTCCGGGGTCTGATGGCTTCACCGGCAAATTCTTCAAAGCATTCTGGGATATTGTGGGCACTTCGGTGATTGAAGCAGTATGTTCTTTCTTTACAACTAGTCGAATGTTGCGAAGTTTTAACCATACCTGGCTCACTTTGATTCCTAAAGTGGATTCTGTGGAAACAATCCGCCAGTTGCGTCCGATCAGCCTATGTCAGTTTGTTTATAAAGTGATAACCAAGATCATGGTTGAACGGCTTGCAGGTCTGCTCCCTCAGATCGTTTCTGAGGGTCAGAATGCGTTTATAAGAGACCGGCAAATTATTGAAATCATCCTTCTCGGACATGAGTTAATGCATTATCTAAAAATAAAGAAGCAGGGGAAGAAGGGGTACATGACTCTAAAGGTTGACATGGAAAAGGCCTATGATAGAGTCGAATGGCCCTTCCTTCTGGCAGTGTTGGATAAAATGGGTTTTAATCTCTGTTTTTAGAACCAGACCGAGGCTGAACCGAAAAAGTCAGTGGTTAACCGTTACAAAACCGTTGATAGAACCGTTCATGATATAGACTTCTATATTACACAAATTTAAGATTTAAGAATAAAGTTATCATTGACCATAAACAATTTCAAATTCATATCATCACCAAAATCTCTACTAAATAATTCAAACTATCTCATAAAAGAAATCCTAATTTTTTTAATTCAAATTAAAGATTACGATGCCAATCGGTAGTGGACAACGTAAAGTCGACAACAAGGTTGGTAACTAAGAAGCGAAACATATGTAAAATTAATAATTATGGTTTCATGATCTTAGTTTATGTTAAAATATTTTTTTTAAAAATTGTGGTTAAAATAGTGAACACTAGACCAGTTAAACCATGGTGGTTCATTTGGTTTTATGTTGAGCTGTGAAAAACCGTTTGGCCCATCAATAACTGTCGAAGCAATGAACCGAACCGCTATCGTAACTGGTTTGGCGGTTCTACTGGCCCACCCGTTGATCCGGTTCGGTTCTTATAACAATGGTTTTAATTTTGTCTGGCAAGGATAGATACATGAATGTCTTCGCTCCGCTTCTTTTTCGAACCTGATGAATGGTACTCCCTCAGGTGATTTCACCTCCTCTCGGTGGCTCGGACAGGGGGATCCATTGTCGCCTCTCTTGTTTGTGCTATGCACGGAGGGGTTTGCGGCCCTTCTTCGGAAAGAGATCCCGGAAAAGAAGTTGGAGGGGGTGAAAGTGGCCCCCCGTGCTCCAAGAATCTCTCATTTGTTCTTCGCGGATGATTCTTATTTATTCCTGCGAGGTTCTCTTCAGAAGTGCGAGAATTTAATTAAGGTGCTGAACGAATATGAGGAGCTGAGTGGTCAACGGGTTAATCTGGAGAAATCTGCAGTCTGTTTCAGCAAAAATGTTGCCCTGCCAGATCAAGAGTTCTTGGCCACGATCTTGGGGTCGGTGCAGCAGGGGGCCATGATAAGTATCTGGGGTTACCCACTTTGATTTCCCGGTCCAAAATGGCTACGTTTCGATATTTAGAGGAGAAACTACAGGAGCGACTGCAGTGGTGGAAGCAAAGGACATTTTCCTGGGCGGCAAAGGGGACATTAATTAAGTCAATAGCTTTGGCCTTACCCCTGCATGTTATGTCGTGTTTCCGGTTACCCCTCTCTCTTTGTCGACTTTTGGATAGACAAGTGGCCGGTTCTGTTGGGGTGCGGAGGAGGTCCATCCCAAGATTCGGTGGGTGTCCTGGCGCAATTTGTGCAGGAGTAAACATGATGGGGGATGAGATTTCGCTGGTTTGAACATTTTAACCCAGCTCTTTTAGCAAAAATTGGCTGGCGTATTCTCAATGAAACTGATTCCCTCCTTGCTCAAGTGTATAAAGGGAAGTATTTTCCTCAAGGGACTTTTTTGGCCGCAATAGCTCGTTCACACCCTTCTTGGGGTTGACAGAGTATCCTGTTTTGGCGCCAGTTATTGGAGGAAGGTTTAAGATGGCAGATCGCAAATGGCCGATCGGCTTTCCTTCTCCATTCTAACTGGATTCCAAGGCTTCAGTTGGATCCCCCTTGCTATAATCCCCTGGTCCTGCCAGATGGGGGTGACCCCTTGGTGGCGGAGGTTATTTGGCATGGGGAAAGGCGGTGGGCTGACGATAAGCTTTGTCAATAGTTTGACCCGTCTACCTGTCGTGCCATTAAGGCTATTCCACTTCCGCGACAAAATGTGGCCGATAAACTTATTTGGCATAACACACCTGACGGGGTGTTCTCGGTTAAGTTGGCTTACCATTTGGCTGTTGAGCTAGACAGGAGGAGGGGTGGGTGGCGATCATCGGTTAGTTGGATAGACAAGCCTAGTTGGATCCAGTTGTGGGAAGCTAAGATCCCTCCTAAACTGAAAGTCTTTGTCTGGAAAATCCTTCATCGGGCTCTACCGACCACTGAGACGCTCATTGAAAAAAAGGTCCCTGTGTTGCCCCAGTGTCCGGTCTGCTGGGATAGTCCAGAGACGATGGAGCACATGTTTCTTTACTGCCGGTTGCGCAGGCTCTCTGGGACTACTCGGGATTGGAATATTTGGGGGGAGGGTTTGCCTCAGCCCACATTTTCGTTGTTTTTCAAAAGATTGCTCGCCTTCGTCCATCAGCTGTCGATGTTCATGGCTATGGTTGTCATCCTTTGGCGTATCTGGCGGTCGTGTAACTGGGTTGTCTTTGAAGGCAAACAGTTTGGGATCCCGGCTCTAATGCGCCAATTTTACCAACAGTATGAGGAATGGGTGGGCTTGCCGGTTGACCAGGCGTCGAGGGTGTCTTGCCCGGTGGTTCAGCCAGGGACTCAGGTGGGTGATTCTCTATTGGTTTGCATGTGGGATGGGGCCACTAGGAGGTGGTCACACTCGGCTGGTGGGATGGTTCTGTTTGATCCGATGCGGACGCTCCTTTTGGCCAAAGGGATGCAGATTCCTCAAATTGATGAGCCAATGGTGGTAGAGTTGCTGGTGCTTCGGGAGGCTATCATTTGGTGTTTGGAGTGTGGCTTGTCGGCTGTTCGGTTCGAGGGTGATGCAAACGTCATTATCGACAAAAATTAATCAAGCCGACACAAGCGACAACCGGTTGGGGGCAGTCCTGGAGGAGATATATCAGTATTTTCGTGCCCATCCTGGGTTTAGTGTGCGGTTTATAGGTCGGGAGAACAATAGGGTAGCTCACTCGGTAGCTAGAAAAGCCCTCTCTTTGTATCCGACTGTAAGTCGTTTTTTTGATTTCCGGGCATGGCTGTTTTCCAGGATGTAACTATCTATTTGTTTGGATTAATATATGATATCTTTTGACAAAAATATATATGGATCAATCCATGAATCCACTAATCCTATTGGATTTTTCCATGAATCAACTAATCCTATTGGATTTTGATAAAATGAATTGGATTAGTTGGATATTTTAGTGGATGTATTGGATTGGATTGAAAATTGCCACCTCTATGTCAAACTCAACTGAGAGCTTAAATTAAGAATCAAACCTTTTTGTTTTTTGAGTAAAAGAACATTTTTTTATTAAGAATCAAATTTGGAGGTTCACCTGCTTGAGCCCTCCACAAAGATCCCATTAAATACCTTCGGGAACATCATAACAGGCCTTGATGGGTTCGAACACAAAATCTGCCAATTCCTGGAACGGGCGCTCACTAAAGATTTCACCACTAAGCTAGGTGAGCTTTGGCAGTAAAAGAACAACTTAGGTCGCACCAGGAATGTTTTGATCATCAATATAATCTTTCATTTGTACATTTTCTCTAAAATTCGTTTTGAGCAATATACTTACCTCAGTATTTGATAGTAGTAGAGTTGGTAGTCGGTCGGTATCCGGTATAGCGGATATCGATTACCCAGTATTCAATATACCGAGAACTGACAATATGACAGCCGAATACGGATACCGGATTTTAACCGGTATACCAAATAATTGGTAACCGGTATAACACCGGTATACCGAAACCCGACAGCAAAAGAGACAGATCGGCTACTGTTAGCCTCGAAAAAGAGTTACAAAAAACAAAAAAAAAACTCTTCGCTGGCCGGTCGCTGCTTCTTGGCCAGAATGGAGAAGAAGAAAACTTGACGATGGCCTAAATTGCGTCCGCACCACCAGCTGTTATGCGCCTCTGCCTCGAACTCAGCGAACAGTCAGCAAAATCCATGTTCTTCTCCTACATCTTCAATTCGTTCTTCAATCCTCAATCGTGGTCGGAATTGAACCACTCTCCGTCGGTTTCAAGAAGCGGCGGCCGACTGCGTAGCTCTCTCTGTCGGGGACTGCTGTTGGTGCTGGTGAAGAGAAGAGGAAGACGGAGATGTTGGAGTTTCGACTTTCGGGAGAGAATCAGAGACTGAGAGGGTCGAGCGCGGCGTGCAGCAAGGGAGGCGAGGTCTGATTTTGGGTATTAGGGTTTACCCCAATCTGCTGCGCTGCATTTTACTAATGGGGTTCGGTATTACGGGTCACCGATTTCCCGTCGGTAAGTTACCACATGTCATCCGGTATACCATTTGGATAATTGTGCGGCCGTATACTGATACCGTCGGGTATACCGGATACCGTGTTACCGAATACCAGCCCTAGATAATATAATTTAAATAAGGAGCTCATATATTTTCTCTTCGGTCAGACAATACTTGAGTCCGTATTAATAATAAGCTCATATTTATCAGCCTACCATACCAGAGTACAACCATGAATTAAAGTTTAAATTTTAGATAGGAAAATGAGGAAAATTTCTTCATGGTAGATAACTGAAAGTTTTGTTATCAAAATATGCCGTGATTTTTTTTACGGATCAGAGGATCGATAGAGCTAGAAAAATGAAAATAATAAACGAAACAAGCCATACGGATTTACGTGGTTCACTAACACCATTTGTGTTAGCAAGTCCACAGGCAAGAGATAGTCAATTTCACTATACTTTGAGAAGATACATATTACGTAGTAATATGAGAAGTATTTATAGTACTTCTTCATGTGATCTAACCTTAAGCTCATACAACTAGACCCCTGTCACTTTGAATCATCGTTAGATAATCCGATTGTAGTCATAAGAACAAAATCTTTGCAGAACTTTAAGAGATGCCTTATTCCTATATCTAGTCTTCTCTCGACTCAAGAACCTGTATGCTGCTATGTGTTGCGGAATTAGTGGGTCGTGCCGTGGGAGTAGTCTTGCGTAATTGGGCTGGGGAGTGTCTATTATTGGCAATTCTGTTGGGATTGCAGATGGCTTGCGTAGAGAGGGCTTGGGCTCGAATATGGTAGAGACAGATTGCCAATCACTCTATAATTTTGCTGATTGGGCCTGTTGGATTAAAGCTTTCAAACGTAAAACACACGAAGTCAGAAACAATAGCCCAGTTAAATATAAGTTGTTTCATTGGAGATAAACATGCCTGCTTCGTTTGGTGGGAACTAAGGCGGCAAATGAGCCGAACCGAGCCGAGTCGTGTTTTACCCTAGTTTGAGCTCAGATCGTTAATAAAGGAGTTGACTCGAGCTCGACTTGCTAATAAACGAGACGAGTCGAGTCGAGTTCGAGCTAGATTTCTTAATAAAATCTTGACTCGTATTTGATATATTCATTTTGTATGTCATACATGATACATGTGATTAATGTCAAGATTAAAATAATAATAAAAGTTAAGCGTTCAATATTAACTAATCTCATTTTATACTTTGTGTATCACACTATTTAGTTAATAAAATGTAACTAGTGAAATTATGTTATTTCATATTATCGAAACAATCTATGATATATAATTTATTTTTAAAATTATATAGGACATATTTGCTCACATAATCTACGTGTTAAACTTCATATAAGGTGAGATATATAATTTAACAATCCTATGAATTACCAAAATCAAAACTCATATAGATCGATTCGCTCATAAGTCATAACTCGGTAATCGAGTTGGTTCTCTAGCCACAATGTTGAGAGTTGAGACATCTCATGAGCTCTAAACGAGCCAGCTCACGAGTTGAGCTCCACAAGCCACCTCCCCAAGCTGCAGAAGACTAAGCTCAAGCTCGACTCATTAGTAAACTAGACGAGTTGCGAACGAGTTTTTCCCGAGTCGAACGCTGAGCCGTTTGCAGCCCTACTGGGAACTATTTCCACAATTGGGGCGCGAATGTACCACTGCCTAGTTGAAAAGATTTGGGCTTCCGCAATAACACGGGCTGGGCTTTTTCAGCTTAGCTGAGTCTTCTTTGTGTCTGCAGTAGGGATAGGGATGGAGATGGCCCAGTTAAGTAAAGTGGAAAAACGAAAACTGGATTACAAAAGATACTCGGCCCGATTACAATGTAGTGATGTGAGAGTAGAACTGGAAATTTTGTTACACTCGAAAGTCGAAATTGGTGTTTGTTAGTTCAACCAAATATCCAACTACCAGAGTTCTAAAAGTTACAAGATTATACCGATATAGAACACGGTTGGACAACAATTTAAACAAAACCACTCATTTTGTCCGCTAAGATAACCAGTATTTGTTTAAAATACTCCAGCCCAGCCCAATTAGATCAGAGACAACTAGTATGAATGTCGACTGTCCCTTAATGATCATTAAACCATATTAGAGGTTATACAGAAAAAGTCAATAACATATTTTATCTGATGAAAGTACGATTTTAAAACACTGATAGGTACGCTCCGCTTCTAGCAATCCATAAAATTGAGATGACCACTTTAATATTTGGGCATCCACAACCACAATACTCAAATTACTTTGTTTGCAAGACAACTCACGAATCAAGGTTGTTAACTCGCGGGTTGATCGTCGGTTGGCCCACTTTGACTCTGACCCAGTGAAAAAAAGGACCGTATACACTCGCCTGATTGACCCGCTACAGGGTATCAGATTGGAGGTCAAACAAAGTGATTTTTCTTTTGGTTTGTGAAATGCACATATTTTATTTTTCTTTTCGTCTAACCCAGTCTTTGGAATTTTAAGTTACATTTGAACATTGATGTTATATAAGTGTGTATGAATTTTCACTATATATTGAATCCAATGTTGTATATATTGGATCCAAGTACAACATATTATCTTAGTGTGATGTTCTATGTTATTACTCATATTATTAGATGAAATTTTATATTTTTTTTATATAATTTATAAATGTATGAACAATATAATAACTTTTATCATATATCCAGACTAAATCGGGCTAAAGCAGTCAACACATTAACCCTCAACCCACTTGCTCGACCGGACCAACGGGTTAAAAAGCGTTGACGACTTTGCACGGAAGAAAGAGAAAACAAGCTTAAATTTGAAAACCACGGCAAGTCATCGTCCAAAACACAATACGAAGATGAGAGAGAGGAAACAAGCAGCATTACTATACGAACTAATTAACTAGCCCATCACCTGTTCAATCTTTTTACCAAGCAACAGTAGAAAAGACACTTACAAAAGCCAAGCTACCTACTAACCCAAATCTTCTGCTTCAAAATAACCTGTGGCAGCCAGCACCAGAAGCTTGACCATAGTGAGGCCTAACTTGAATGTGGACACCCAATGCAAACCCCTTCTTCTACGACACAACATAAAGTTCAATGCCCTTTACTAACCCATGAATCAAGCTTTTGCCGCACCAGAGTTACGCAAATGGTATGCAAATGAACGAACTAAGCAAAACCTGGAACCATAGAGACTTACTTAAGCCTTGCACTTCACATCTATCATCAACCAACGGCATATAGGATCGCATCGTATCCACAACACTGAGACCTCAGAGTTACAGAGCTACCAAATGATGTTCAAGCCACTACACTCCCCTTTCCATACCTCCTAAAACTTATAACTTATATCATGGCAGACTGAGAAGCAAGAACAAGGGTACTCTTGAAGATCATAACTCTGCAGACTGATAACACGAAATGACCACCCGATACGCAAAAGTTATCCTAAGCAACACACTAGACTTGAACAAACAGCAACAAGAGGTATCACTTGCTCCCTAAAATGCAAGATAAGCTGAACTGAATAACAAGTCTTCCAGAGCATTGGAAGAATGCAGGGCAGGCATCAGCCTGTATCTCCAAGCAAGCAACATAAATATTCAGCCATCAACTTTCCCTGTGCATCCATTTTCTCCCCTTTCCCTGTCCATTCTGTCTGGCGTTGTAATATACTATCACTGCAAAAGACTATAAACCTCTGTCCACTCCACTCCACTCTGCATCGCATGCCAAAGGGAGCCTCACAAAAAAGCATATCAAACAAACTATAGCTAATAATTCACTATGCATTAAAGAAACTACTTTCTTTAGCACCCTCCTTTTTACACAAAATCCACCCCCCAATTATACCTCGAATTGAGGCCTCCATGGTGAGTAGCATAGCAACTCCTCTCTACCCTCCAAAGAGATCTCTCCCAAAACCAACCAACTGTAAGCTCTATGTATCTACCTCTGCAGCAAACAATGGCGGAGCTATTGAGTACATTTGATCATGAACAGTCCAAAATGACCAATTTGGGACGAAAAGAGAGTGAATGTAAGAACATAAACAGACCTTAATCGGGGTATCTGGAATTCTGTACGAATCAACTGTAGCTCCCACCAACCACAGACCAGGAAAGACGTTCTGCATAAAAAATATAGAGATGGAGATTTTGGTTCTCTCTTTGTAGAATTGAAAAAGACCGAGAATGAAAACGAAGAAGAAGAGAAAGGAATCCTTACATCAACCAACTTTTGGACGTTCTTGGGTCGTTTCATTGGCCGGCGGGAGGGTCTGGAACCGGTCAAGATGAAGACATCCTCCTCAATCTCTTCCTTCGACAGAGCAATCCAGAACTTCCTCTTCTCCTTCCTCTCAAAAGACACTCCTCCTCCTCCGCCGCCGCCGACGCCTAAATCCTCCGCCAATCCTCTCAATCGCATCGATTTCGCTGGCGTTTGTTGTTGTGCTTTGTCCTTCGGTTGCTGCATCGTCAGTTCACCGCTGCCGACGAGGGAGCAATAGAGACCCCTTCTCGGCCTCAATTTCCATGGCCGCTGATGATTCCCTTCCTCTTCTACCTCTTCCGCCTCTCCTCCTCCACCACCGCCAGATTCCACATCTTTGTTCCGTTCGGAGACGGCGACGACTTCCTTCCGCAGCTGCTCCTCCGCCGCCGATGGCTTCTCGTGCACCGTCACCGTCTGCTGCTTAGGCATCGGCTTTGGGAGAATACTAGAGCACGAGCTGAAGGAGAACCGCTGCTGCCTGGCGGACCGGGATCCGACCCGATGAGGAGCCATACTAGCACCAGCAGGCGGCGGAGGTGGCCGACGGTGCTGCCTCCGGAAAGCATCAGGATCAGAATCCGTCTCCGAGTCGTTCGGTAGCGGCGGCGGAGCAGGACGGCCACCGGTGACGTTGCTTCCTCCGGCGGCAAGCGTGGCGGTTTTGCCCCATTTCAGCGAGACAGGGAAGTTATGGAGCGATTTCAGCTGCGGTTTCACCGGTGCCGTCGCCATTGAAGAAGAAAGCACGACGGAAACGAAACCCTTCCTACAGATTCATACGCCGATATACACACTCGCCGTATCCGTACAAAAACGACTCTACAATCTGCCGATGTACGTGAACTGATTGTGAACAGATGATCGGAAGATGGAGGAGTAAGGAAAACCCTAAGGGAGGGAAGGAGAGGACCCCACGGCGGAGCAGAAGGTGGTTAGATGAGAGAGAGAGACGGGCGGAGGAATTGCTTATATGCGTGTGTTCTGAGCCTTCTGACGCTATATATGCAGGAGCAGCACAAAAGGTCTCTTTGTTTGCCTCTAATTCCTCGTTTTGCCCTTTTCCTTACCCCCAGTTTTCAGTGCAGCCGCTGGGGTCGGGTGGACCTAATCCGGTTCGGACCAGAACCGAATCAAGTTGGCATAAACGAAAGATAGAATCAATATTTTCAGCACCGAAGGAATGTCGAACAAAAAATAGTTTTACTCGTTCTAACTACAATATCCCAATCGACGGCCAAGTATAACCGCCGACCGGGTGTAGAATAGAGCAAGCAAGCAATAAGAATTTATTGTACCACGGGGATCTAGGCTTACCCTACTTCAGGTTTAGGGTTCGTTATCTAGCCAACCTAGGATAGTGATTGATAGAATTAAACTAACTAACCTAGACTAACCACTAACCTAGCTATTTACAAGGTGCGGAGCTCTCTTGGGTTGAATCGTCCTAGGTATGTTCTTTGGATCGATGTTGGGTATCCTCCTAGCTCGATCGATCGTTTAGAGATGGACTCCGTCGGTAATGACCTGGAACGACGAATCGATGGATGGATAATGCTCTATTCAACCTAGGGGGTCGTATAATGCTAGGAGTCCGGTCAAATCAACTCCCTCGGGGACTACCCGGACAATATAAGATAGGAGTGACCCGAAGACGCCAAAAGGGGGCTCCAAGGAGATTATCTCCCTCCTAGGTCAAAAGCTCAATACATGAAAATGGAAACCCAACTCATGCCATTCATGAAAACATCCATCAATTAAGTAAAATCATCAATCAATCATGGAGTTTATCACATACATCAACATTAAACCCAAATCTAGACCTAGAGTTCTTAAACCCAAGAGAAGAGGGTGAGTTTCTAGAGAGAGAGAAAAGAGATTACAAAGAAACCTCTAGATCTTCATCTTCTTCTTCTTCTAGGTTTGATTCCTAGCTTCCATACTTGATCAATTCCTTCAATTAAGCTCCAAGATCACTCACTCTCTCTCTCTCACACTTGAACTCCCCTTTGGTGTTTTGGGTTGAAACCCTAGAGAAAGAAAGTGTTCCTTCTCCAAAAACCTGCTCCCTCTTTTCTTCCTTTAAGCTCCCAATTTATACCCAGATCGCGCCTAGTTCACGGTCCCAGTTCACGCTTAAACACGTCCGTGAACTCAGTGTCGTGGCCAAAACGCACCGCTTCACTTCCCGAGGTTCACGGTTTGTGCTCAAAGTTCACGGTCTTAGCGACCGTGAACTTCCTTGTCGTCAGTAACCTCTTGAACCTACCTGGACGCCTCGTTATTCACGGTTTGTGGTCCCAGTTCACGACCTTAGAGGCCGTGAACTCCAATGCCAGGCTGTGAACTCCAATAGTGATTTTGGACTTTTCTTTGGTTTTCGCGCTTTTTGACCTCCAATCATCCCGAACTCGTCCTCGACCCTTCCACACGTGCTAGGACCTGAAATGTATCAAAACAAGCACAACCTAGTGTGAAATATGTCGAGGAATGATGAAATGAAAAGTCATACTATCAAGAAATGAGGGGCAAAATGTGTACAATTGGACCCGAATCATAGTTCAATGATTATTTTTTGGTTAACCGTTGATAGAAGCGTAACATGTCCTATTACATAAAAACATATGTCACTTTTTTTTATAAACTCCTAAATCCATTAAATCAGGCAAACTTAGCCTTGGCCCATAAGGCCTACAGTAGAATCACGCTATACAGCTTCGTACAACCAATTTGGGATCCAAGAGTCCCAACAATAGAAACTTTGTCCAAGAACCTTCACGTGAGCCAGATAATGGGCTAATTTGTTTGTTTCATGAGGAGAAAATTCCCAACTTATCTGCCTTTCTTCTGAGTGCGCAACAACTTCAGCCATCTCTTTCTTCAACCATATCAACTCGCAGAGAACCCTTATCTCCGGTCGGTCATCTTCTCTATTCTTCAACCTCTCAATTATCACCTTGCAATCGCTCTCCACAATTAAGGATGTAAAGCCTCGACTCAACGCTTCTTCAATTTCCCTCAAAATTCCCCTAGCTTCAGCTTCCCCCAGTCTGCAATTCCCCACCATCCTTCGAGTAAAGGCAAACTGAGGTACTCCATTCCAGTCCTGAATAATGCCCCCAATCCTGATTCCCTCTTTTTCACTAACACCAACATCTGTATTGAGTTTGTAGACCCTCGACGAAGGCCATTTCCAGCAGGTGGTTATCCCCGATCGTGCATGCGTACCGTTTCGGTTAGTTGAATTGATCTTCAGGTAATCTTGAACCCAACAGGTATCCCGATGAATTACCTCATCCTCCTCCATTTTGGCCTTGTTAAAAGCTGGCTCACCATAGATACATTGCGATTTAAATCCCGACTAGAGCCGAAGCATAAACTCTAGCCGGGTGCGGTATAGGGCAATTATGTTTAAATTATCAAACCCGGGTCGGTCCATGTACCCCCCTACTTCAATCGCTTAGGTTATTATTTAGCAAAAGGTTTTGGGTTTAAAACTAAGGAAACTACAAAATAAACAAACTAGTAAAGCAAGGTTGTCCCGATGAGAGAAGAATTCACCCGGTTATTGCTACCCCTAGCACATATCAAGATCGACCAAATCGAATGCAAATGTGTGAAGGTGTGTTCATACACCGTAGAAGGGCACAACAAGTGAAGGAAACCTCACTCCCTTAATCAATCGGTTAAGGAAAACAATTAATCTAGGAACCTTAGCTATCTCAATCAATGGATTAAGGATCGATACAATAAACTACGAAGTCTAGCTCTCTTAACATTTCATCTAAGGATTGCAATAATAAGCTAGGAATCCTAGCTCTCTTAACCAATGAAACTAAGGGTTGCAAGAACCAATTCCTCGGAACTTAATCCGGACGACAAAGTAACATCCAAGTTAAGGTGCTAAATCAAAGTTTGAGATTTGCCCTAATTTTCCCTAGGTAGGTGAATCAATTGGCCAAGCAATCCAGCTTATCAAATCCTCCTAACAAAAATGTGAATTCCCTCTACCTAGGTCAAATTGGCATAGTAATGAGAAATGAAGAACACAACCCAAACGTAATGAAAATTCCTCAAACTTTACATTAAACACAAACCCACACACAAAGCATTCAATTAATACAATCTATCACATATTTCAAGCTAGAGTTCACAACACCCAAGTGAATAGGTAGGCTATTCCATAGCTAGGCAAGGGAAAATAAGAAAAAGGAGAGAAACAACCATGAAGAGATGACAATCTTCCTTCCTTGTTGCTTGAATCTCCTTTGAGAAGTAAGAATCTTCACTCCTCTAGCTTAGGACAAGCCCAAATCTCCTTCTTCCTCTTTTGAATGACACTTTCTATCTCTAAAATAGGAAGAGGAAACCCTAATCTCTCACTAGAAGCCCTCTTTTATTCTGAAAACTAAAAACCTACCAAAAGCTCCCTTTTCTCTTTCAGCTCACTTCCCCTTTTATACCCAGATCGACGCCTGTTCACGGTCCCAGTTCACTGTCGTGATCATTCATCCTGGACCGTGAAGTCGCGTAGATTCGAACCGTTTTACTAAGTCACTTCATGGTCTGGGGATGGAGTTCACGGTCGTGTGACCGTGAACTGACTGGACTCCAGTGAGACACGCAACTATTCTGGAACCTCCGCGCTTCACGGTCTCGGGGCAATTGTCACGGTCGCTTTGGACTTTTCTTCACTTTTTGGCGCGTTTCGACTCCAATCGTCCCGAAACTCGTCCCCGACCCTTCTACATGTGCTAGGACCTGAAATATGACAAAAAAAGCACAACCTAGCGTAAAATATATCGATGGACGGTGAAATGCAAAGTCATACTATCAAGAAATGAGAGGTAAAATGTGTACAATGAGACCCGAATCACTCCCCTACACTTGAAAGTTTCTTGTCCCCAAGCAAACCAATGTCAAACAAGGTAATATTTCAACCTAACACAATAACTTGGGGACACATCAAAGGGCACAAATCGGGCGAATCTCAATGGCTATTGAGCATCAACACATGAACCATTACAAGTAATACCGACATCCACCACAAACGAAATTCAAATGCATTAAGAACATGCAACCGAAAATTTTTTACCCTGTTCACAAATCAATGCAAGTCTCGATAAGACTACTCACCAACCACAACTAACCATGCATAGAGTTCAAGTCCAAGGAACAAAAGAATGGGCGACATAGGTGCTCACCGGGATAAGGACCAGTGGGGTCAAGACCATTTGATGCAAAAGATGTGAACAATCATCAACACTCATCCCTATCTTCTCTTCACCACGGCAACAACCTCTAAACGCTAGAGTTCACAAGATGTTTGTCATCACTAGTTTGTCCGGAGGTCTTAGACACGAGTTCAAATGGCTGGCAATTGTCTTGGACATGGGGAAAATGCCTTTTGGGTGGTGGCAAACATAGCATGAGGTCCTACATCTTCAACCTAAAACCAAAGGTTCTATGGTTTCGACTAAGAACCTTTCCTACAATCAGCGGCCACTAGCAATGGCCCAAAACCGCTCTTCCCTTCTTCCAAAATATTACCAACCACGAACTACATTCAAGCACACTTCCTGGGCTAAATCCTGCTATCCACAATTCAAGCATAGTAGTGAAGGAGTTCAACAAACAATTTGGGTGTTTCAATGGCTTGAGTGTCAAGAAACCCTTTCTAGAGCATACACTTAGACTTTGCGGCAACTCTCTACTTTTATTCACCCCATCTTATTACCTCTTTTTTGTTTCTACTTTCCATTTCTTTTTCTTTTTTATTAGAGGGGGTACTAGAGAGTTAAACACTTGACACCTTAACACTTAACAGACAATGCTCTATATTAAGAACTTCCTCCAACACTACTTCTTCATTCATAGCAAGAACCGTGCAAAATCCACTTATGTAAAACCTTAATGGAGCCGAAAAGCGAAAGCTCCGGGATACAAGAACGACTCACAACGGTTTAGACACTAAGAAATGATGAGGGGTCGTTCTATCAATCACCATTAAGCTCACAAGCAACAAGCTCCTAACATGAGAACGACCCCCCAAAATCACACGGCTCAAAGGGGTTGATAAAGGAATGAGATGTTTCGGGATAGTCAACTTTTGGGCGTGAACTAATCCTATGCCTCCATCATACTCACTAGTGACAACGGTGAATGTTACACACCATGGCGAGAGGGATCTATCACACATGAAAAAGACGATCGACACAAAGCTCACAAGGCTACCTAGCCACCGAATCATCTATTCCAATTTCACAAAATTCAATGCATGGCAATTGTAATCAAGGAGTAATCAAGGAGTAATCAAGTCAAGACATCCATTCATTTATGCACACATGAGAATTAAACATTTGCACTATCCTAGTGCAATTCTCAATCATCATAATAGGATGCACTCGATCACAAGTAAACAATTCAAGATCAATGCCAATAAACATGAGATTCTCTCACAAACCGACCACTTTGATAATGCAATCCTTGGAGCCCTAAAAAATTTAAAATTTTGGGCATACATCTAGACTCCAAGCACTCAATCACACACGAAAGCGTAATAGATAGACTACCCCCCACACTTAAGCTCGACAATGCCCTCAATGACGTAAAATAAGGGGTAGAACGATGTTACCGCATAGCTTGGCAAGTGAAAGTCACGACATAATTGAGCCGGTTTCAAGAGATGAGAGAAAGATACACATGGGAACAAACACAAAAACACAACTAATTGTCGCACAATGCAAGGTTATTTCACAATAATAGTACTTAACATGAAAACAAACACAAACCTATGTTGGGTTGCCTCCCAACAATCGCTACTTTAACGTCATAAGCTAGACGGTTGCTCCTTAAGCTTTAGTCCATCCGAGAACCTCTTTGAAGTTGAGGTTCTCGTCGGTGAGATGAAGTCTCAAGTCACGAGCATTGGACGAGCCCATGATTGAGGGCTCATGAACTTGAGTGGCTTTGAGGCTCCACCCACAAGACCTCTTCTTCTTTCCTTCTTCTTTCTCTTTGCCCCTTACCATCTAGTGAAAACTTGATCGACTTCCATCGCATCCACCAAGAGGGATCGCCGATGATTTGGACTTGGCTTGGCAAAGAGCCGCAAATGGATCATTGTTAACCAACTCCTCGAATTTAGTGGATATTTCTCAATAATCTTATGGCCGATGCAAGCCTCTTCCCCATGACATCTTTCTTAGCATGAAAACCAATTGCTTCATCCAAATCCTTTCTTCACATTCATCTCCTTGTGGATCCTCAAGAAATTCTTCTTCGTTTGCTTCTACCTCCTCCACAACTTCTTCTATCATCTTCCCTCGCTCTTCCGCAAGCATGCGATGGATACCAAGTTTCCAAGAGATGTTTTTTATTGAATCGACCCACATCTCCTCATTGAGAACCTCTTCTTCAACGCATGAAATTAAGTGCGGAAGAGCGGTGGCTACCTCAACAGGACTGTAGACACCACATTTTTTCTGGGATAAACACTCTACTTTAAAACACAACAAAGGAAAATAGAATGACAAATGCAGAAGGAAGCTTGGAGTAAATTAGTTGAGACTAGCAGTGACAAGTCAATATGGACCATTGATTACCAAGTGTAAACAACAATGACGGCCTGCGTTGTTCACTTTTAGTCGCATATAGTTCATGAAATTGTTATTCTAAATATAGAATTTGATTGATGTTAAAAGTTAGAGTTGTATCTTACTTTGGATCGGGGTTTGGATTAGGGCTTTCGTTGGGATAATGATGAATGAAAGTGGCCAAATTACATAAGAGAAATTGGGATTTATGATTAAATGCTTCAACTAAACGTACAAGAACAATTACATTACATAAAATAAAGCAAAATTGGTGATTAATAATACACGAGATGGATTAAACAACTAATGATACCAAACAAAATCTACACAAATAAAGAGAAGAGGCACCATCAGATTAGTCATTGCTCTCATACTTTGAACACAAACAAATTATGTACCTGCAAACAAAAAGAAAAGGAAAATGGTTTAGTTTTAAGCCAAAATTCAAGTCACAAACCCCAACTGAAGCCCAATTGAGGACCTCCAATTCAAGCCCATCTCTTATTATCTAAGTCAACGGGTCAACCCGGTCAACAAGGGTCTCAGTCCATACCCTATCCCAAAGGTCAAGAAAACTCTGTTGCCTCCTGCAAATCGGCTGCCTCCTGCAAATCGCCTAGATAGGACCGCTGGTGGCCATACCAGATCGTCGGCAGCAGCGTGGTCGTCGGTGTCGTGGCCGACAAGGCCGCGGTCCATCCTCTCCTGTGCC